ATATAGTGCAATGATGCATCTCAAAAGCAGTGTCATAAAGCACTCAAATACACTACAATGACACACCACCATGACAGTATAACAATGCACCCCATATACAGTGCAACGAAGCATCTCGAATACTATGTAACAATAAACCCGAAGGCGATGAGTTTCTCCAGACTAATAAAGCTTTCTTTTTGAGCCCGCCACTACAGCTTACATGAGCTCCTACGCTCTACGTGGTCCACAACTAATGCAACTCCTGACTCTTGCATCTACAACCTAATGGTTTTATCACAGCTCACCACTACGACCAACATGACAAACTATGACATACATGCTCCATGGCTAGTGCCACTCCAAACTTTGGGCTTTGTGGTCTACAAATGTCATCACAACTCATCATTATAACCAACATAACTAATAACACCCTACGTAGTCCGCAGCTCATGCAACTTCCGATTCCAGCCCCTGTGGTTTACAAACGTCATCACAGCTTGTTACTACGGCCTACAAGGTTTAAAGCTCGTGCAGCTCATAACTTCGGCCTTTGCATCCTACAAACATCATCACAACTCACAATTACAGTTTATGCGACCACCTACAACCTCCACGATCCACAGTTAATGCAACCCCCAAATTCGGCCTCAGCATCATACGAATGCCATTACAGCTCATCAGTACAGGCTACATGATCACTTATAGCCTACGTAACTCACAGCTTGTGCAACTCTCCTAAATCCAACTATTGTGTCCTATGAACGTCATCACAGTTCACCAATATGGTCTTTGTGACCGAATATGGTCTTTGTGACCGAATATGGTCTACGAGGTCCCAAGCTCATGTAACTCCCGACTTCAATCTCTGTAATCTACAGACATTATCACTACTCATCACTATAGCTAATATAATAAACTACGACTTATGTGGCTCATAGCTTATGCAACTCACTACCAATGTCATTGTAAACAACCAATACTCCTAATGCAATCGTTTGCAACCCACACAACTAACCACTAACAAGGCTTTCAACTATGGCTTATACAACTAGCTAGTGCTACAACCACAGCCTACAACATTCACGTCAAACTTCTACCTCCTTGACAATCAACTATGGCTTTTGCAGCCCACTATCACCGAGAACTACATTCATTACAACCAAAATATGTTGTACATTAACAACGATCAACTTTATAACTCCATCTTCCCTAATTCACGAGAAGAGTGAACTCGTGTACTCATCATTCATAGTGAAATGTTTCAGTTGGGCCCATAGCTCTTTCTTTTTTTCAGGGGTTTCCATTTAAAAAATTTAGGTATCACATTCTACTTCTCTTTAACTTCCTGAGTGTCTGTTGGTTATTCGTGCAATGCTAATTCATTACACTACCATTGCGGACTTTCTGACATGTGTGACGGTTAAACCAAAATGATGTAATAAATTTTAAAATTATTTTAATATAATTTAAATAATATAATAGGAATGCAATAATATTATTTTTATCTATCCAATAAACAATATTTTAATTTAAGATACTTCATATTTGAATATTTTGAATAATTTTTTTTTTGTCCTATGCAGCATAGCTTAAATGCTGACCTTTTAGGTTGGAGAGATAAGCCTCTAACAAGAGAGTTCCACACTTCAATTTTTTTTAAATAATATTCTAAATTAAAATTTTGAGAGATGACATTTTATCCAATTTAAATTTAAATATCTTTATTGTCAATCTATCAAATAAAAAAATTAAAATTGTAAAATATTAGAATATGCTAATTCATTAAAAATCGGACTAGTTCATGGATTCTAACTCGTTCAACCTTGATCATGTGTGTGAATGATTTCAAGTAGGACCAAATCGGTCGAATATTAAGCTCAAGGTTGAACTGATCGGTCTGATCCATGGTTGTGATTTATTTGTTTTTACCGTTTTATGTTGTGATGTACATAATATTAAATAAAATGAATGTTTTGGATAAAACTACATATAATTTTGTTGTATTATTATTATGGGAGATAAATTTATATGATCAAAACTAACTAAAATAATATAGTTCGACATAATTGATCGAGAAAAAATTATATCAATTATATTTATTTAAAAATAATAAATGAGCCTAAAAAAAAAAATTACCTATTTATTAATAAAATTAAAATTGAAATTATAATGATAGTTAAATTATAATTTATAGAATAATAATAAGCAACGCTTTATCATACAAATTTCAGTTTCTAACTAAACATATATATTATATAAGTCCATCCATCCAAAACAGCTCTCATCATAATTGAACATAAAATACATAATTTTTTGATTTTTTAGCAATATCAAAATAAATTATGAATACTTTTGTCTTAAAAATGTTCACAAAAATTGTTGATTTAATAATTTGCATAATATTATTTTTTCACATAATGATTGATTTAAGATCAATCAAATATCTAAAATTCAAATCCTCTGTCTTAAGAGTATATAATCACTTGACAAAAATTGATATCTATTCATTGTTGTGTTTTCATTACCAATTATTGTAACATGAATGTTATTTTTATAAATTTCTTACATATTATTAAGCTACATGAAAACATAATTTGAAATATATTTTGTGTTTTTATGTATATTACTATGGTCTAATTTTTGGATCTTATAATTGATTGATATACAAAATATGGATCCATCCAACCCATTTATTACAAGCTACATTGTTAATGTAGGTTGGCATCGCTCAGAATTTTTCTAATCTTATTTGGATCAACTCTGACGATTGTGCATATGAAATACCATCATATTTTGAGAATAATTCATGCTAGGGCATAAGGTACAAGCAAATAAGAAGTTAAAACTTTTAAGTACATTAATGTAAGATTCCTAAAGAGAGTTAGTCATATAAGAGACCAATCTATAAATCAATTCTATGTTTCATGATTATTGTTTTTATTTCTAATTACTTCTTTGATGTGTGAGTTCACGAACAGATCAGAATCCAATAATAAGAATTTTATCCTAAAATTATAACAATTATGATCATTCAGAGAAGAAAAGTTTATGGTTAATGCCATCAATTCACCTTTCTAAATTCTTATGGGGTTGTGTTCGCTTTTTAGTATCTTTTTTTATTTTCCTTCTTTGGCCATTTCAACACCATCTGATGTCTTCTTCAATTTTTATTTATGATCTTAAAAGATTTTTTTTTTGTGGAATAAAAAAAGCATTTATATGGTAGTAAGGTTGATTAAAACTCTAAAGAAGAACTCACTAAGTTGATTTGAAAGATCATAGTATAATTTTTTTTTAATATATATTCCTCATAACATTATGATATAGAAGTTGATAAAAACTTCGATATCAGGATTGATAAAAAAATTCAACATACTACTCACATAAATAAGAAGTTTACAAGCTACTAGGTTATTGGAAAGCTTAATAAGCACCGGGTTCATAGAAAAATAATTGAGGCCAATACTTGCTTTTATGAAAGATGTTGATAAGTTATTGAAACAATAAGGTATGTGAAAAATCTTAACATACCATTCGGGTTGATGCACATCTTATTAGTAGGGAAAAAAATAGCTTTAAATGGAGGCTTGCACCACATTTGAATTGAGTTTCAACCCATTAATTGAACATTTAGTTTGTAATAGAGGTTAAGAAATTGACTAGAATGAAATTCAAAACTAGAAATCCTATCTCATTTTTCAATATTATCTTGCATGAAATCAATTGATTTAGTTTGCTTTGCTATTTATAAAAATATTCAACATAATTAATTTTATGGAGAGACATTACATTGTGAGAGTCAGATAAAGGTGATAGAAAAAGTAATTCAATAATTTGAAAGTTATATATTTTGAGAGGGAAAAAAAGAAGTTCCTTAAGGGTCTGTTTGGGGCAGCTACAACTGCTTGAAGAAGTAGTTGTGAAGCTGTTGAAGAAGAAATTGTTGTTCAAAAAGCCATGTTGACTCTTTAAAAAAATCTTTTTGAAAAGTAAGACCACGGCTTTCTAGCAGCCACCGCAGGTAGCAAGTCGTGGTGGCAAAACGTAGTTTTCAGCTGCAACTTTTCAGAAATGCAGAAAAAATGTAATTTTGTCAAACATAAAAAATTGCGGTGCAACACTGCATCATCACCACACCGCCCCAAATGCACCGTAAATTACTTTAATTTTCTTAATCTTCAATTATCCTGAGCTCTAACTCGTTAGTGTGGGCTCCAACAATTTAAAATACCTCGAATTCCCATTTAAAAGAAAGAATGAAATAAAATTAAGGCAGTTTACCATGAGGTTTCAGGTCAAATTTTTAGAAGTCAGATGAGATAGGAAATAATACACTACTTTAGGATATGTGGTTCAAAATTTCTCATAGGTGCGCAAGCTTTATTGTTAACTACCCCTCCAAATAATGGAAAAGAACTTTCAATTAAGGCTAGTCATTAGGCGGTAAGTGTAGTAGCAAATTTAAATTTTGAAATTTGAAATAATCACTATGAGCTTTAAAGCAGATGAATGGGGGGAAATGTTGATAAACCTGATCAAGATCATATGATTTTGTCATCCCAGGTTTTCGTGGTATGTGATCTACTAAGTCAGTGGAGGCAATAAATCCAAAATCATCGGAGCACATTACGAGTGATTTAAACCTATTAGTTTGGATTGAATTTTATGAAACATTATAATTATTTGCACGAATGTATTATTTTTGAAATTTGTGCAAATATTTTCATTTTAAGCCTTAATTTTGTCTTTTGCAACTAAAGCATTTGAGATTGTGATGGCAAATATTTGCACATTATATTTAATTATAGATTTTAAATAGTATTACTTGCCTATGTTGAATTCTCAATTTCTTAGCTCTGAAAGTTTATGAAAAATGAAAATTCTCTTGGACTTTATTTGTGTCTAATTTGTGACCTTAGCTCAAATTGTTAGGCGCATTGAGGATGATTGGGCTTGTATAATAGCCTTAAGCCATTTCTTTGTATTATAAAAAGATAAACACTGGAAAATTACGTAGGGAGCTCCCCTTCGTTTGGTGTTTAGGTTTGGCCTCTGGGCTCCAACGTTTCCGCCGTAATAAGAGAGGGAGGAGGTAGAGAAAGAGAATCTCTGTCGTCGATTCACGTCTCCTTTGAAGGAAAAGCTGTTCCTCCTTGAAAGCCGAAGCGAGGTTTAGCTATGGCGAATAGAATTTGCAGGTCTCAATTTAGGAATGCTGCGGTGCAGAGGCTCAAGTCATTGTTATCTGGCGACGCCGCCAGCATCGGTATCCGGCAGTTGAGTTCCGGCACCAGCCAGGCCTCCGGGGCAGCGAAAGCTACTTCGGCCACTGCAGGACCCGCTTCCAGTGCTCCATATCCTTCGAAGAAGGTAGACGCTTTTTCATCCTTTTGTGTTTCTTTAATGGAAACGGTGGGATATGTTATGCACAGGTTTGTTGCCTAATCAGTTTATTTATGGATTGAATTTTGAATTTCTTGATTGCACTAAGGTGGGGTCAATTTGCTTGATTCAGGTACTTTTTTTTTTTTGAATCAGCACTAGTTTTCTAACTCTGGTTCTTGAACGTTGCAATCTTTGGACAAAAAAACCATAGCTGCTGAAGATTGTATGGTTGATAAATGGAGTCTTTGATTATTTTATTTTATTTTATTTGTTGAATTTAATGATCCGTGGGATCTCCACTCTTTATGGTGATGAGGCAATGTGAGTTGTCTTCTATGTTCTCAGGAAGCTCAATAGTTACTAATAAATTCAACACTATGAAATCTTGAAAATGGGTGGGGCTGTAATCATACTGAGCTGAGCAGGGCTAAGCTTGTCTTGGATTGGACTTGGTCATGCTACTAGTTATTCATGTTCTTCTTGTGCTCTGGTTGAGCATTCACATGTATGTTCTTATGTTATTTAAAATTTTCTACATCCGAGCTTGGCTTGTACTTGACTTACCTAAATTAATCGAATAAATCATAAAGAAGCTATCAAACAATCTAAAAAATTGAATGAGTGCTTGACTTCTCAGAATGAAAAATAATTTAGTCTAAATGAACAAATAATTTAATAAAGCTGGAATTAGTATCTAAACTACTTGGCATCAATTTTAGAAAATAAATGAGTCGGAGACAAGTTTTATGGAAATCGTACAACATGAACTGGTATCATCAAGTTTTTCATTGAAATAGTGAAATTAGAAGGGATTCCATCAAATTATTATGTAATAATATATTGAAAATTTTGAAAAAATAAAAATAAAAATAAAAAATGAACATAGCATTTATCTAAATAAGAAGTTTTTAATCGGAAACAATTTATACCAACTGGTTAAAATAGCTGCATCATATTGATCTCGTAAATCTCAAGATGTTTTACTACAACTATGAGGGTATTTTAGTTGGATATTTATAAAATACATGAATTTATAAATAAATTATAATTAACATGAATGCATTTTAGAAATTCAGGAGCTTTTTGGTTGGAAGTAAATCATGTGTTGAAATAATTTTTTTGTATTTGTTGCTAGACATTTCAAATGGATTGAAATACGATGGATACTAGCTAGTTGTGAATGATGGTGTCTATGGATGACTGAATGGCTACCCATGATTCATGAATGATGAAATTGAAGTTGTTGGTTGAGAGGCTTTCCTACGTTTGGAATTTACCTGATTTGAGTGAATTTAAATCTATAAAAAAAAGCATTACAGGGCATTCAAAATCCCCACACAAATGTTTTCTATTTAGTTTACTTTAAATTATACATCAAAAAATGAAAAATTTATCATTTCTTTTGCCAAACAATCCCAGTACTTGCAACCAAACAACACTCAAGAAAGTGAACAAGGAATTAAATACTTCAAATTCATTAATGGAGAAAATGCGACTCACTGGAAATTATTCTTTCAAGCTAGCATAAATTGTTTTAGAATTGCTCCTAAAGTAAGTTAATAGCGGCAAAATCAATTCAAAGTGGACTGAATCAATAACTAAACAAAATAGTTATGTCATTATGCTTTATCAAACAAAAGAAAGAGCATTATCCTGTTATTTTAAATTAAGGGCCAGCATTTTAGATATAAATATTGCGTCAGTTTTAGGAGGAAAGCATGTAGCTTAATCTACACTTTAATGAAATCGAACTGAGAGTTGCAAGGGTTGTAGGCGTCAAAACTCCTACTAGCCTTGATCTCCTTAAAGCCTCTTGCCATCCAGGGCTAAAATGGCCTCCTCATAGACTACTAATCTGTGTATGAACTATATGGGGTCTAAGAAAAAGAAGAATAGAAATGGCACTTACCTCTAGTAAAATTTAACATCCCTTACTCTCTCTCATTAAGATATTATCCTCTTTCGTCTAATGGCCTCACTGTTTTGTTTTATAATTGCAACATCCCTATAGGTCATCCATCCTCATAGTCCTCCTATACGAGCACACTTACCTTTGAAGGTTTTGTTAAAATTTCAACCATTGTAACACCTCAATGTTTTGGAATTCAACCTCATTCTAATTAAGTAGTTCAATAATCTCACTCACTTAAGTAGCTGCATATTCATTAGTATTTTTAAACCAAAATAAACCACCAATCAAATAAAACACTAGAGATGATCCCTGCAAGTTCAAGAGGTGGCTCCCACCATATAGCACTTTGTCCTATTTAGGATTAAAAAAGCGGTTCCCATGACGCTACACTTTGTTCTATATGGAATTTAGTTTCCGTTTTAGGCTTATAATGCTCCGATATTATTTGTAATAATTTGAACTCATATCCATCGAGATATTATCCGCTTTGGCCTATTGAACTGATGATTTTGTTCTATTTGTGTAAATTCTTAAGAGGCTACAAATTGCTCCTATACAAGCCGGCTTAACTTTAAAGTTTCTGAGAAATTCCAAACATTACACCAAAGACATCTCGATATTTATGAATTCTGTTTCATTCTACTTAAGGGGTTCCATAGTAACAACATTCTCGTGAGTCATTTCCTTAGCTGACTCTCTCTCAGGTAGGCCACCTTAGATGCCTATGAAGGCTGAAGTGATAAAACTTAAAAGCGTAGAACTAGAGGAGGAAATAATTAGAATTGAAATTGTAAAAAATAAGGTATGATAATTAAACAGAGTAATCAAGACTAATAAATAAATATATAATATATTATTATTAAATAAGTGATTAAATAAGCTATATTTAACTAATTATGAATTAAATAATATATGAACAATTATCATGCTTAATATTCATTTAACAAGTTACTTGTAGAACAATAAATTTTTTTTTCATGAATATAAATAAATGCGTACAATTATGTATAAATTTGATTCATTTAGCCTTTGATTTGCTAAAAGCACCCACATATATTTAATTACTAACTTGAAGAATTATTAGTTGAGTTGATTTTGAGTTGTTGATCAAATCCATTAATTTTCTTGTACCTCTAAAAACGAGGGAAAAAGGATCTTACCACTCCAACAATAAATTTCAGATTATAATTATGAATGAAATTTGATCATTATTTATAAAAAATTTTCAAACTCTATTCCTTGAAACCCGTTTTTTTTGAAGCGTGGGCTAAAATATTTTAAATCGACATTTTTTCCCTATTTTTCTAAACACGCCTCAGTTAGTGTGAGTTTTCATGTTTCAAAACCCACAGAGGCGTGAGTTTCGAATTGTTTAAAAAACTAATGTTTAAATGTTTTTTGTTGAAAAAAATCACATTTGGAAGTCTATACATTCAATCATAACCCTACATTAAAACCCTATATTGGATAAAAAGCTAAAATCCCTTAATTTTGAGCTGTTGTAGTAATCGAATTTTGTTTCTCTCCTTCTCACGTGTCTCGAATGTAACTTATATTATCTTGCCCCTCTCATAAGCTCTTCTCTTTTCTCTTTCAATCCCTGCTTTTCTCTTTCTTACCCTACTTTCTATTTATAACGATTAGTTCACAATCTCTCATTTCTTTTTTGTCACACATCTATTTTATTTTGATGGTAGCTTCTTTGAATATGTGGAGGTTAAAATTGGGTTCTATAAATTTATGGAGACAATGATAAGCTTATCAGAAGATTTTGGGTGTCCTGATAGATAACTTGAAGTGTTCATCACTAAAAAGGTAATGTTTAGCCTTAGAGCTGCCGCCCAATTATCATGCATAAAACTTTGTCCTGGTAAGATATATTATTAATTTTACTTTATATTAAACATATTGTTAAATTTTGTTTAATATGTATTCAATATTATTCTCTTTTTAATTTTTCTAATTCATAAATTAGAGATTTGGTGGATGCATTTTGGAAATGAAACACCGGAATTAAAATCATTTGGAGTCAGCTTCTTAAGTTTAACATGCTCAACTTTTACATGTGAACAAAATTAGAGCATTTCCAACTCACTGAATACAAAGAGAAGAAATTATTTGGCTGTTGCTAGGAGGAATGAACTGATTTATGTCATTTACTAGTAAATATTAAAATATAGATACCTAGGGGTTAACTTCATACAATGATGACGATCTGTCATGATGATTTAACATTAGATGATAAATGGGTAGTTAACAAAGAAAAGGAGGAAAATAAATAATAAATGTGTTGTCGAATCAAATAATAATGAAGATATTGATATTTATGTTATTAATGTAATAAAGTTTAATGAAAGCTTGTCATGTAGACTCTATTTCTTCCCTATGATATTAATTTTTATGATTTCTGAACTCAAACCTTTATTTGATTTTCTTAAGCTTGTATGATTTTAAATAATGTGTCTTTTATGAATTAAGGTTATGTTTTTTATGTGTTTTCTAATTTTCATAATTTTATGATATTTGTTTTTTTAATACGAAAGCTATGCCTTGTCTTGACTCAACACTTAGATTTTGATTCAATTAAGGAAATTGTCTCGATTTGAGATATAATGTTCTTAAACTGTGAGTTGGATTCACTCAAACTTGATAAAGTTATTGTGAGGAATATTTGGTTGAAAATGCATGGATTTAGCCTTTGCTGATTTAGTTTGAAGATGTTCATTAGGAGGACAAGAAACCTAACTTGAAGTAGCTGTGCATTTTTATGGACTGAACCTAATTGAACAATTTTTACTCCCCCCTTGGCACTAAGTTGACCAGTTATAGAATATTTAACTACCATAACACACTTTTATGTGAATCATGCATGATCACATGTGGAATTCATGTATGCATTTATGCTCGTTTATATTAAAAGTGATGCAGATGCCATAATTGTTCCTTCTTATGGCGTTTTCTAGACTTCTGCCAAGTCTCCACATGATTTACAGGAGGTACCAATGAGTCATGCCCGAGAGCTTGTGGTGATTGCAATTTGAGGTGGAATTAAAGAAGACTTGACCTAACCAAGATGAATTAATTTTGGAAGTTTTACATACATACCACTTAATTCCTATGTATTTACACATCTAATGCCTAAAATTCAATATATGCCATCTTAGCTATGGATAAAAAGGTATATTTCACCTGTTAAAAGGTAAAATAGTGGTATTTTTTATGTGATATGAAAAATTTGGGTGGTCTATATATGTAAAAAGTAGATTTTATATGTTAGATATGTAAGCACATAGAAATTGGGTGGTATTCATGTAAATGCCCCATTAATTTTTTTGCTAAGATGTAAGCATCAGAAAAGTGAAGTTCTTTTTAAGAATTACTTCTTGCGTAGGCTGAATTTACTTTGTAGTTCGAAGGAGATGAGCCAGCAAAAGAAAGGAACTAGGGTTGGTATTTTATTGTACTAATCTCTCTTTGCTAGAAACCTGAACTCTAGATCAAATTCTTCTCCCGTCTCATCTCTCCTCTTCTTTTTTTGATATCTTAAAATAATATTTTTGATCAGCTATATTACTCATATCGTCCGCCCAGTTCCAACGTACAGCAGTCTTCTTCTCCACCTTATTTTGAACCTAGTTTTGAGGCACTTCTTTAACCACCATTTTTAAATAAATTTCTCTGTTTTTATAATGTTTCTTGGCTGTAACTTTTCAAAATGGAACATCGTAATCCACATTGTTGCATTATGCTCAAGCTATTATTCCCGTCTTTAAAATTTTACAATGTTATGAACAAGCAGACCAAAGGTGAGGTAGTCCTGCATTTTGATAAATTTGCATGTATAAATGTCCAACTTAGTGGGCTACACCTGCATGGTTAATCTTGATATTTTTATGTAGTGTGATACATCAAGCATTTCAATGATTTATGGTAGCTTCCATGCAACCTCGTATCTAAGGAAATATTTGAAAATTATCATTGGTTCTTTAATCATCTTGATATCTGGTATCTGAGAAATTATTATTGTTATAATTTTTAAAATATATTTGTCCACCTCAAAATTTGCAAGATGGGATTATGCCATAGGTGAGGCTAGAACTCAAGAATTAGGCAACATTTTCCAAGGCCCTTGACCTTGATAAATGTTTAAAAACCCTAAACAAATAAACTTTACAAGCCAAACAGGCACTAAGTGGTGATGAAAACTAATTGGTTTCAACCTAAAAAAAAAAAGCGCATCAAATTAGAAAAAAATTTTGGATGGAAAGAGAAACCTTAAGAACCCTGCCAACGAAATGGATTCTTGTAAATGAAAATGTTTCCTGCACCAGGAAGTTAGGGTTGAATGCAGCAGCACCCTTTTTTGGCTCACAATCATTCGAAATTGCCAAGAATACTGCTGGAAGAATGCTTGTGGCTGCTTCACCAAACTGGATGTTGAAAGAGAATTGGGTATACCCTTTTTCAAAGTGGAAGCTAAACGTGTCAATTAAGACAACTGAGAACCTGTTATATGAATTTTAGGTTCAAGGAAAGAAGGAACTGCAAACCACAAGCTGGATGAGAAGAAAAAAAAAAATCTGCCACCTCCGTAGTTCCTGCCCGACGCCCTTTATTTTCTTGTTTCTGATTGATTATTTCTGTGGTTAACTCCTTGAGCAAGTGCCTGCTGTCCGCCATCCTCTATCACCTGAACGTCCCAATTTTCCTTCCGAAATTGCTGTTTCTCCAAGACCTGTCAATGAAAACGAACGATGGAGCTAGATTACGTAATTATTACTATGAATGCCTAATACAACATCTTAATCTTCGGTCTTTCATGAACCTGCGCTTGCAAGTAAGAGAACCCTCCATCTGCTGTTACCAAAGCCTTCTACTTCATGCTGGATTGCTACATTTGGTTGGAATTTCCTCCCGCTGTTTGTCCAGAAAATTTATTGCTACGTACAAGGACGGTTTGGTCAGCTACCGAAGATTATTGGTGAAGCCTTGGAAGGCTGAGTGAGGAGGTATAGGTGCTTTGTCGTTCAATTGTGGCCGTCTCTCGGACTCCACTATGATCTCCTTATTCCTTCCCTCCCCACCTCTCAAAGAACAAGGAATCCTCTCTAAACCAAGACAAAACCTTAAATCCTCTCTAAACCATGATGGTTGGACAGCAGGAAAACAACAGATTTTCTGTTTTTCGGATGACGACAGTGAGAATCAGCAACCAGGACTGATGCAGGAAGGTTGGGGAAGGGTGGAGGTGACTGTGCGGGATGGTACGGAGGCGGGGAAGGGAGGGAGGGGGTTGGAAATGGGGAAACTGCAGGGAAGACAGCAAAAGCTGCTGTCTAGGGTGGCTGGAACAAGAATATAATCATCACCTCGGAAGAGAGATACAGCAAGTGCACCCCCCAAACCCTCGAATATAGCCCTCGAAGGGAGAAAATAGATGTCAACTACTGTCCTAAACAAACTCACATAAATACTATACCCTAAAACATTAGGAATCAAATATATAGTAATATGATAACTAAGAGTGGCAAGGGAACTGACTGATCCCCCATAACGAAAATACTTGGACCGTTCAGTATAGGCACGGGAACACTCTTCGCTTCATATCGCGAGAAATCCTGCATGAGCGGGATACGCTCCACGTCATTCAAAATATGAGATGTTATTTCTTAACGAAGGAAATTGGAAAATAAATATACTTTTGTCCATGTGGGTTTGACATCGGTGTTTCTCAAGTAGATAAATTATTTGTTTATGGTTCAAATATATTCTAATCTAACTTTATTTTGCATCTTTTTAGAGCTATGCCAGCCTAAAGTAGTTGGGATATGACAAAGGATGTATGGGTGATGATGATTTTCTTTATTTATTTTTTTCAGCTTGCTCTGTGGCTGATTCCATTATCTTTTTGAACATTAATTGGTGAACTTGACTCTTATATATTTCAAAAGATACCAGGTTAAAGGTTGAGAATACTCGCTCTGCTTATTAGGTTTTGGAAATTTGTTCTTTTATTTTATTATTTATAAAACATTTCGTGATTGCTTGATAGGTATCTTTTGTTTAGAGTACAAGATTTATAATTCTAACTTTAAAAAATAGATGAAAAATTATGCTATTCTTTATTTTTTACCTGTATCTCGTTGGTTTTATCTTTGTAGGGAAGGCTTTTGACCGGAGCCATGATTGGTATGGCAATAGCAGGAGGAGCATACGTTAGTACTGCAGATGAAGCGACATTTTGGTACACAGTAGTAATTCTTATGCTAGATATTTCTTTCTAATTTTTTGATTTATTAGTTGGCACCAGTGACTTCAAGGTATATACTCACAAGTTGTCTTCAAATACATTTAATCTTAAAATGTTTGTTTTGTATACTAGGTGAGCATTGTTCTTTATGTTTGTATTTGTTATTGATACAGGGAGCATTTTATTCTTCAAAGTGCTATGTCACTGTTTAACCAGAAGGTCCATAACATACAAATTGATGTGGGTTTTTTGTATAACCTTTAGAAAGACATTCACGACTCTTATGGGCAAGGACATGTTTTTTTCTCACTATTTAGGATGGGCACCTTTGTCTCAAATTTCCTTACTATACATCGACTTGTTATCTTATGTTTATGTTAATTGATATTAAGCTTTCATTTGTGAACTTTCTAGATTATAAAGTCTGGATGTTAGTAGGATCAAATATGCTATAATATAATGTGGCATGCATTTTAAGGCCCCCCTTACTGTGTGTTGATCTTTGTTTTGGTTGGGCACGCCTAGGTTTTGGTTAGCTCCTTTCTATTGTTCTGATAGGATGTTTACTTTGATGCTTGTATGAGTAGTTGTTGACCAAGCGGTTGCTAGAAATACCAAAAAAAGCTACATTATCAATGGATTGTGATACTAATAATATCCTTGAGAAGCCTTCTTCTTCTTGGGCATTTATGCTCCAACATTGAGGCATGTGTGTGCCCTCACTTGCTTGGGTCCATAAAAAAATTATAAGATGCCCAGTTTTCTCCTCATGCCATTTGTCCTTCATTGCTAGAGATGTGAAGGGAAGTTCCCACTCTCCTCTATATAGAGGAGAGGGTTAGAAAGGGATTAATATAGACATGTTTGCCTCGCACATGCAAGGGTCGATAAAATGTTATAAGCTATATAGCCAATTTTCTCCTCATGCCTTTTTTTCTTCATTGCTTGAGATGTGAAGGGGAGTTCCCATTCTTTTTTATATAAAGGAGAGGGTGAGAAACTGATGAAGAAAAAGAGAGAGAGAGAGAGAGAGAGAGAGATTATGCGGAGGGCAAGGCACGACATAAAATCTTATGGCATATGCCTTCTAGAGATATTTCCTTAAATAGAGTTAGCGTACTTTTGCATCTTCACTTCAAGTTTGATGACTATCGGCTTATAGGGATATATATTTTGCTCTGTGGAGTTATTACTAACACATACCAATCATTCATGAGTTTATTGTCATAATGATGAGTCTTGTATATATATATATATATAAAGCCTAAAGGCTAAAATATTAAATAAAAAGTAGGATACAGATAGATTGTGTGGGAGTGCCCAAACAAAAAACCCTACTCACACGATAACCACCACATCAAATATTTTCAAAAAGAGAAAATACAAAAAAAAAAACGAAAAAGTGGCAAAATACGGAGTATCAGGTAGCTAGAGAGCGATCCAATTTTGCATTGCCTCTGCCTCTAGTTCTAGGGAAGGAGTCAGCTAATAAATTGGTAAGATGAGTGTCTTTGCCAGTAGTAACCAATATATCATCCAATAAATTTCTGAGCTCGAGTCAGCCTCCATTCTTCTTCTTCCTCCTGGAATAGACCTGTCACTCATCCGAAGATTGACTCACCTGATTAGTAGATTAGTCTAAAGTGTGTCGGACATGTGTTTGTTGTTGAATATTAGAAACAACTACTTGTTGTACCAGCTGATCTTTTATAGGATCAAAGGAGCACTCTCATGTGTCTTGACATATAAGTGAGTCTTCTTCAATTGAAATGAGTGGAATCTATACCTGTAGTATCATGTTCTTTATCTGAGACTGTGGTGTTGGAAAGAGGATCGGATTGCACCTTCTCAGCAGAGATGATATGTGACCGATCTTTAGCGAAATTCGGCCTTAGATGAGGATGCAAGCTATAGCAAATAGTAAAACTATGATCAAATATACCACAATGAGAGCAATAAGGAGGCTGTGGTTCTATTTCAACATTTTCCAATACCCGTTTTGAGTGGTGTCAATTCATATCTCATATGGAGCTTGTTGAGTGATATCTCTCTCAACTAACACACAAACCACAGAAGGTCTGGTGACAACAAGCGTATGACTAACAACCTTGAGAGACTTACCGTAAGCAGTTGTTAAAGAGTAGAGAATTTACAAGTTGAACAGATGTAATTTTAACCCTGAAAACTTTATCCAAACAAGAATGATAGGGGACTCCATTTTTGGACCAAAATCGATAGTCCGCTTGAGAATTTTTATAAAACAATTGTCGATCTTGATAACTTTTCGAGAAAAATGCGAGTGTAATCGGCATCGTGAGATAATTAAATAAGTAAATGTCGACCGTCAAATAAGCTAATATTCCAACTGTCCAATAGCTTTATCGCATCAAACTATTTCTGAATGATCTCTAGTTTTGGGTGACCATAAAGGAATTTTTCCACTAGAGCAAAACGCCAAGAGGACGCGAGAGTACTAGTTTCATCCTTAGTGAGAATAATAGCAGACTTCTCATTTTTTTTGGCCAAATTTTTTAATAAAAGTGTGATCACCACCACTTTCAAAAGCGCTTTGGAAAGATTGAGGAACATAACATGACTTGTTAATATGAAAATCAGGCTCTGAACCTGAAAAAGGAACATAAGTTAGAAATAGGAAAGTCGTCAGCAAGTGCATTAGCATAGGATCGCATCGTCGAGGCCATCTCCAGAACAGTCAGGCGAGCTGCTAGAAAAAGACGAGCAGAGGAAATTTTTGTCGGGCAGGGCGATTGAGAGTTGTCGAGTACGAGGGAGACCTTCTGTCAGGCAGGGCGACAGAGGCGAGGTCGAGTACAAGAACTTTTTGTCGGCACAACGAAGGCGTAGTTGAGTACAGGGACGAGGCGAGCCGTGACCTAACGAAAGCGTCGACGATTGCAGGTGTGGAGAGACGAAGTGCATGAAACCCTACGTCGTCGAAGCAGACAAAGCGCAGGGGCTGGCAGAACGACGAAACTGATAGCGTGAAACCCTTCATCGTCGTAGAGCACGACGAAGCCGGTAGAGTGAAGCCGAGAGATTCAACGCAGGGAATCGCCATCAGGCGAAATAGCAGAACTGTGACTCGCAGTAATAGTAACAGCAGTGTCATGGGAGGGTCCTCAGGTGAAACATACACCCCTTGTCTTGTAGTATCATCCTCAGTTGGAACTAAAATGTCCACAGCAGTGGGGTAAACCCATCCTTATTCACTTTCCCTTAGATTTCAAATTAGGATGAAATTTGTGGCATTTAGCAAGGATATGACCAAACATCTTAGACCAAACATCTTACAGTGATCTTACAGTGAGTACAATATGAGGGTTTGTGTTCCATGACGATTTGTTGTCAATAATCATTATGGGTTGTGCCCAGCCAGACTTGAGTAACATCTGGTAAAGTAATATTCCTTTCCACATGTATTCTGGCCACCGAGGGCCTGGTCAGGTTAAAAGTAGACATATCTAGTTTCAAAGGATCCCCAAGGATGACCCCAATAGAGTAGAGAACCTGATGGTGAAAAAATGCAGCTTGAGACTAGGCAAACTAAACTATACCGGCACAGTGGGAGTTTCATGATTTGGGTTGAAATTGGGAGACCACTTGAGTAACTTCATTGATTTGCCTTCGATATTGCCTTCGATATTAAGATATTTCTTGGATAAAATTCTGGTGTAGTCTTCAACCACTGTTAGTTGGATCAACACATGTCTCCTATCCATGAGTCTCACTTTCCACATGCCTACTAGTTTAAGATCATCAACACTTTTTCTGATAACATCCATAGGATTTATGGAGTCTCATCATTATCATTGAAAGACTCCTTTCACCTCTCATGCATAAAGAACAAGAATCAAGACTTCTGAATGTTCAGATGGCAAGTGAAGGATTTTTAAACTCTATTAAGTGTCCATGCTTGGCACGTACATCGCAACAAGTGTACTCTTGCAGCTCATGTATTGCCTTGGGATTGGCTGAAAACCTGCGATTTGCATATGTGTGGACATACATTTGTAGTTAAAGACTATTTTTGATTGATTTGAATGTATATCGAATCAAAATAACATTTTTATATGATTTAATCTTCTGGCCATTAAATGCATGGCATTCCTCAGGATCATTTTTAGCCAAAACTTTCATTGGCTAGCGTGTTTTTACTTGATTTTGTTATTTCAATTTAACTCTCATCACATCATTGGCACCATATCCTATTAGAAATTTGTAATGAGGCACTTTTTTATTAAAAAAAATAAAGTGCGAGATAATTAACAGAGTAAAAAATTTAAAAATTGCAAATGTAAAAAATGCATATATCAAAAGAGCATTTAGGGAAATATTCATAAAACACACAATATTTAAAAAAATAGAATAAATAAATAAATAAATAAATATTTTTTAGTACCATTGTCGCTACAGTAGGATAAATTATGTAAATACTATAATCTTTATATAAAGTAAAGAAATGGGTATGCATTTTGAAACAAAATGTGGGATCCACTAGGGTCCACCTCTACTTATCCAAGGTAGAGTGGACATAGTTTGTGTAATAGCTCGAATATTCACCCATAGAGATATTTTTGATTTGGCCTAATGGTCTTACGAGCATGTTTAACTTTGTGGTTTCTAATCAAGTTCTATTCATTACAAAAAAAGGCATCTCGATGTTTAAAAGCTTAGCTTCATTTTACCTATGGGATTTCATAAATTTTCTCACTTAAATAATTAGCATCTTTGTCTGTATTTTTAATCCATAGTCATTCGGTAGGCAAATATGATTCTAAAGGTGACCCTTAAAGATTCAACAAGTGATTCCCATCATGTAACACTATATCCCATTTAGGGTTCAAAGGTGGCTCCCATAACATAGCACTTTATTTGATATGACACTTATTTCTCGTTTTGAAGCTACTATAATTTTCTGTATCATTTGTAATGACTTAAACTCTCAACTATTAAAATATCGTGAGCTTTGACCT